GAGTTTTAAAAGGGAAAATCTGCCATCAGGGCAGCGATCAATCAGTTATGATTTGATGCTGCACTCAATAATCAGCATCTCACAGGCGTCCAACATCTTAATGTTCTTTAACACTGGCTTTCTACATTAGGAAAACTATTACTGCAGTATTACTGCAACTTAAGATGTTAACAATGATCAGCACAGAGAACTAAAAACCATCAAAATATGCAGCTATTAAAGGGGAACTCAACTGATTTTTCAGAATTTAGCATAATTAAGTGGATAAGATGTAAACAGAGTCATTCAGAGTGGTTTGGTGTGAAACGCTCCGTTCTAGAAGTCAGAACTGTTCACAGTGGTGGTGATAGGAACCAGACGTCCACCTCTAAAAGCTCCCTCACAGAAAGTTACTACATGAAATAGTTACGAATACACTGCCAGATGACTGAGACACTGTTTTACAACAGTTCTGTGATTATGTTTTGGCCTTAACATATTTTAATCAATTTATTTTAAACTATTAATGGAGGAGAGACACATGAAGGGTGTCCTAAGGCAAAATACTCCCCATTATTTCAGATTTTCCACTATTTTCCATCATCAACATTCCATATGAAACTCAGAAGACTCGTGTAGGTTCACTGGTGGTTTTGAAAGTAAATAAAATGTCTATATTTGTGTTGTAGTCATGGTGACCCCTGGTTCCTATCACCACTGTAAAGACATCTGAACCATTTCACACCAAACCACTCTGAATCACTCTCTTCACATCTCAAAAATATGTGGAATGCCCCTTTAACGTTTACTATTAGAGCGTCTATCGATTATGATGTCAGCTAAATGCTTTTCAGAGCTGAATACATGTTTATTGATGCAGATTAGATTTCATCTCTGGTGAATCCAGTGCTGAGTCTAAGTTCCTGTTAATGCAGTAATTCAACTCGTTGCCTAGCCAAATATTATTCTTTCATAACGTTACCACGTTTTTTCCTATGCAGTTTGCCAACCCAACACAATCGCTGTGCCTAACCTGGCAACCCATTGAAAAGGTTCTGGCTCTGAGCACTTCAAGTGGAATTCCACTGATTTTTTACATTTTCTACACAATTCAATGTTTGAGATGTAAACAAAGTCATTTAGACTGCTTTCTTGTGAAATGGTTAATTGTATAGGAACCAGGGGTGCTTTTATAAGGAACGTTCATAACAGCAAAATAGTGCTAAATCTGAAAAAGTGCATTTTCTTGGGGACTATTTTGTCCCTGCATGTACCCCTTAATGAATGTGCTTAAAAAATAGTCCAAAATCTTTTCACAACCATCGTAAAACAAAGTCTTACCATACTCAGCCATGCATTTTTAGCCATTTTATGTAGGAACTTTCTGTGAGGGAGCTTTTAGAGGTGGACGTCTGGTTCCTATCACCACCACAGTGAACAATTCTTACTCTAGAACGGAGCGTTTCACATCATGACTTTGTTTACAAATTAGCAAACTGATATTGGACGATATTCAGCATTAAAGTACCCGGAGGGCAAAAAAAACTTGATCTAAACATCCTTAAATACAAACGAACACGCGGTAACAGTAACATTTGCACCCACGTGTGAAGTGTATGCAGTAAAACACTGGAGCATGTAGCATAAACTCGCTTCTAAAACATGTATCTGGATTTTTTATGATGTTTATTCTAGATTTGAACACAGCAGCTGTCTTTTACACTGTGGGAAAAGCTCATGATGAATGGACTGACAGTAATGCTCCAAAACAGCTTGGAACGAAACCTCTTGACATTAACTTACCCTTAAAGTCAAGGGCGTTTTGCCCTCTGCTGTAAACCGGTTCTTTTTTCTTTGCCCAGCGACGATATGACGATAACCTTCAGTTGTCAATGGGAGGTTATCCAACACAAACAAAAGCGGTCTAACCAGAGTGAGCGAGCTTCTCACTGCAACTCTCCTGTATTACACAGACTGTAGTCCATCTGTTTCTCTGATACTTTGTTAGCCCCCTTTCACCCTGTTCTTCAGTGGTCAGGACCCCCATGGACCCTCACAGAGCAGGTACTATTTGGGTGGTGGATCATTCTCAGCACTGCAGTAACACTGATGTGGTGGTGGTGTGTTAGTGTGTGTTGCGCTGGTCTGAGTGGATCAGACACAGCAGTGCTGCTGGAGTTTTTAAACACCTCAGTGTCACTGCTGGACTGAGAATAGTCCACCAACCAAAAATATCCAGCCAACAGCGTCCTGTGGGCAGCGTCCTGTGACCACTGATGAAGGACTAGAGGATGACCAACACAAACTGTGCAGCAGCAGATGAGCTATCGTCTCTGACTCTACATCTACAAGGTGGACTGACAAGGTAGGAGTGTCTAATAGAGTGGACAGTGAGTGTTTAAAAACTTCAGCAGCACTGCTGTGTCTGATTCACTCGCACCAGCACAACTCACACTAACACACCACCACCACACATGACACCGCGAATCGAGGAATGTTAAATGCCTGCACAACTTCGGAAATGGAATGCTCCGTCCATCTGGCACCCACTATCATTCCTCCTTCGAAGTCCAATAATTTCACGTCGCCCTGCAATGAGCACACTGACCAGTGTTTAGCCTCACTCACAAGACAACGCCTCACAACTTATACAGGTGTGGGTGTCCCAAGCCGTCCACAGAGGTAACGCCACCTCATAATCAATTTACATACTGCTATCCCATGACTTTTGGCACGCTAGTGTAAATTAAAGGGCCCATATGATGGAAAATATCATTGTTTTCACATTTCTTTTAAATTACTTGTTTGATTAAGTACGCAATCATAGTTAAAGGTCACTCTCCAGGCCATATATGGAAACTAAGCTGTAAAAACAGCCCGTTATGAGGTCACTGTTTTTGGGATGTCACCAAAACCACCTAATTTACATTATACCCATCTATTCCATCCTATAGTTTAGCCCCGCCCATTCATTATGAAGTAATAAGGACTGTTTTAAGCCTTTGAGAACGCATGTTTTCTTAGACTCAATGTTAGAAAATGAGAAAAATAAAGTTGACCCAAGCTGAAGGCGTCCAGCGCAGGCTTTCATAAACGTTATGGTTCTAAAATGTCTATTTCTAAGTCAAGCCTGACACAGTAGTAAAATTCATGTGCTTACGTTTGTTTGTTTGTTTATTTTTGGAAGGGGGGGGGGTACTTGCCTTGCATTTGGGACACACAAAGCCGCTCATGTTCTCCACCACGCCGATCACAGGCAGCTTCACCTTCTGACAGAATCGGATCTCTTTTCTCACATCCTGCAGTGACACTTCCTGTTTGAAGAATAAAGAAAAGGCACGGAGAATTTACACCAACATCAAAACCTCCGGTTCAGCTTTGGAAGCTTGTAAAATGTCTTCCTCTCATTTCCTTTAGCCCTGAATATTTGGAGAAAACAAAAACAAACACAGTGGAGGAGGAGGTTGTGTAATTGCTTGTTGTGTAAGGTGGTTTCCACTCACTCCAGACGAACTGTTCTATTGTGAAAGCAATCTTAGGTCACAGTTTAAATTTTTTTTAGTAGACCGTGAGAAAAAGGAACGATAAGACGGCTAAAAGTACTTTTGGTGCGGTAACACACAAAAAAAATCACACAAAACACACAAAAAATCTGTTTAACAGTAAAAAGTCCGGCAGCAGGGATGACGCACTGAACCTGCTAATTAACAATAAAAGCATGTTTCTCAATGATGGTCAACACATGCAATTTTACAGTTCATTTCATTTAAACACTGCCTTTTACTGTAAAACTGTCAACACTTTCACTAGTTTAACTGTTATTCTGACTTACAGTACTCACCATCATAATAACAGTAGCAACTATGAAAATATACACAAATGCATTAACAGCAGCAGTGATGAAATTTATACGGAATATATATTTAACCATTTTTCTTTTGAACAGTGCACAGTAACTTTATCACCACTTGTAATGTTTATGACCCCTTTGCACAGGATAAGACACCTCGGTACGAATGGTGAGATGGAAGACGGGAGTGGCTACTCAATTAAAGCACTGCCATCTCACCAAAAATACCACAAATGCAATCTGTTCAACGACTCAGGAATAGAAAAATGTCCAAACATTTACTTTAATTGCAAATTTTTTTAATTACATTTTTTTTTTTATTTACTGTAACCGCATATCTAGCTGATTTAAGTGAATGCATTGCGCCATTAGCATTGTCAGCAGGTTAGAACGTTTTTTGTTAATACTGAAATAGTAACACATCATAATATTATGTCAGTTTACAGTCTGGTGCACTTACTGCTCAAGTACTAGACCTTAGTAACTGTATCATCATCAGGAAAGCAAACAATAGCTAAATATGGCTGCTTACACAGTAAGATAGAGGAAAAGATCTGAATGAAGTCACTGAAGCACTGAGTTATTTCAGTCGTTATTAGGTCATTGCTGCCATTAGAGCCTCAATGTGTCTGTCTATATTTCTCAGCACTATATTGGTCATTCTGGGAGGGTATGAGGGCGGCACGTAATGGTGCACAGCGCCACGTGCTGTGCGTCTCAGGTGACGCTTGTCCATGTGTGTTTCAACAAATGGTATCAGTCAGTCAGTCAGTCAGTCAGTCAGTCAGTGACACCAACTCTCGTGCAAAAAGAGTGTCAGAACTGATTCAAGGTTGTGGTGCCTTAAAGCTGTAAACATTGAGTGTGAAAAGACTCCACCACAGCTAAACACACCAAAAGGACGAAAGAAACGGGTTCTGCAAATAGTCTGGAAAGCCAGGTTCACATCGTCACTGCTGAAACAAAACCTTGCATCTCTATTTTTGTCATTTTATCATTTTATTACATTATTTAAAAATGCTAGTTGCCCTTTACATTGTGTGCAAGTTTCATGATGCACAGACCAACAGAAACGCTGCACATTTACTTAGAAAAATTACCTGGACTTACATTGAAACAAAAAATCTTTTTTGTTTTAATCTACTCCTGTAAAGTGATGGTGTTGGAAGGATTATGATATCTATTTTTTATTTTGATGATTTTGGTCCTATTCCAAGATTAAATTGCTTCGGAAACACCTCACATCGTTTTGGTTACTGGTTAAACTTGAATTTTGATTGATCAAATAGAATTTCGGTCACGTATCTGGCGAGTACATTTTCATTCGTGTGTTTTTCCTTTGTTAATAAGATTTTAATACTGAAAGTACATTTTAAGCAGCCTTCTCGGATCAGACAGTGACAAAAGTGTCCACCATCATCCTCCCACCACCTCTGTCTTGACAATAATCTTTGTGTTATACTGTTGACTGGTCAGTTGATGATTCATACCAACATCACGTAAACTGAGCAGAAGTGAGAGCAGGATTTGGATTGGATTATCGTGTTTTATTTATCTGATGACCTCTGGATATTTAGCACAGTTTCGAAAGCAGATGTGATCCTCCAGCTGGCTGTTAGATAAGCTCTCAAGCGATGAGCTGAAGAGGTGGGAAATGAGTGTCATCAGCACCACTGAGCGACACTGAAGAAGCAAAGATAAAGCTGCTTCTCTTTCACACTGTGATAATCACTACTTGACCACATTTTCAGTAAAAAAAAAGGATTCTTGTGGACCGACAAGGTAGGAGTGTCTAACAGAGTGGACAGTGAGCGGACACAGTGTTTAAAAACTCCAGGAGCACTGCTGTGTCTGATCCACTCATACCAGCACAACACACCCTAACACACCACCACCACGTCAGTGTTACTGCAGTGCTGAGAATGATCCACCACCCAAATAGTACCTGCTGTGGGAGGGTCCATGGGGGTCCTGACCACTGAAGAACAGGGTAAAAGGGGGCTAACAAAGTATCAGAGAAACAGATGGACTACAGTCTGTAACTGTAGAACTACAAAGTGCACCTATACAGTAAGTGGAGCTGATAAAATGGACGATGAGCGCAGAATCAAGGAGGTGGTCAGAATGTTATGCCTGATCGGTGTCCAGCCTGCTCTACTACAGATGGGTCGGAGGGTCAGTTAGCATTAATAATTTATTGCATTATTAACATGTTAACTTTTACAGCAATAATTTTAACACAATTCAGGTTGATATTCTCTAAAGCTGTGTTCAGCCTTTGTTTCTCAAATCAGGGGCCGGATTCACAAAAGTGTCAGCCTAGAAAACGGAGTACAGCTAAACAATATTTTGCCATTCATGTGCCATACTCAAGTGGAGAAAGTGGAATAATGAAAGTATTTAGGAAGAATGAGTGCGTTTACATGCACTCAATAATCTTTTCTTCAGTTTTCTACAGTTATCTGATTATTCAAATGGTCATGTAAGCAGCACATTCAGATTTCTTAGATCAGAATGAGGTCTAGAAATCCAATTAAGAAATCTGATAGAGGCTGGATTTTAGCTCAGTAGTCAGATTTCTCAGTGCATTAAACTCTTACTCTGATTTCTTTCAGATTTCTCAGTCGGCACATGTGTAAAAACTGACCGCGGTACCGGAAGTATATAAATATATATGCTTCACGAAATGAGGAATATAAATATTCTTTGTCTTCTTGGTGACAAATGTTCATATTTGAACATAAAGTGGCGCAACGTTTAAAAAAAAAAGCTGCGGTATGAAGTTTAAGTTTTACTTTTCGTTGGCTGGTTGTAAAGCAGAAATCTGATTACATGCTGACTCATGTAGACCCAGAGTTTCCCCATTATCTGATTACTCAAGTCCATGTAAACGTGTTGATCGGATTATGACAAAATCTGATTTTCTGCAGTTATCGGATTATTAAGTGCATGTAAACGTGCTCAATTATTGGCCTTACTTTGGCTTTTAACTACAATTGAGAAAATGTTTTAAAGAAAGCTCAGCAGCATCTGTATTTATTTGGGAAGCTTCGGTACGTTTGGTCGAGTGTGAAAGCTGTTTTCGACACCGGGAGCAGTCCAGAGATCCAATCTTTGGTCCTCGTGAAATCGGTGGGGTGGTCCGGGGTTCACTAATAGTTTCCGGGAAATTCTGTTGCGGTCTGCTGGGTGTGGGAGCTCTGTGCTCCCTGGCACGGCATCAGGGGCTGCTTGGTTGGTTCATTTTGTAACATGAGTGCTTCAACTCACTGCGTTACTTCCCTAAAATCCTGCTCACATGAGAACGGCTCTTTCTTCACTGGCCCTCCTGCACAGTGAAATGCCATGAAGCTAGTGCTACCACTTGTACTACATACACAGAAAATCGGCGCATTGAATTGTGCAATCAATCCACAGTTCATATGGAATTAAACATGAAAAGCCACAAAAACAGCAAACCAAAGTATAATTAAAATATCCTTCTCACACTCGCTCTACAGAACAGTGCTTCCTTTTGGCTGACCATGAGCTGCCAGGGCATTTATTAAAAAAGTCTTTTGTCCTACAAGCTACTCAAGTGGTTTAGTTTATTTTACAATGTGGGATGCTGGTGTTTCAGTCTGCTGGAACGTGGACAATTAAATCCTGCAGGAGGGTCTGGCTCGTTGCTGGTAGCTGGTTGTTTGCTCACTGGGAGGCATCTGTAGTGCTGAGGGTGTTTTTCCAGCAAACAAAGTACCAGAACCTTTGGACCCGTAAAACTGAAACCATGCTTTTAATACTAGCCATCAGTCCAGTACTGAAGGTACTAAAGCTACTCCATGGGTGGACAAAGTACAGTACTTTAGGACTTGAGTAAACGTAGAAATACTCCTGGTAAAACGCTGCTCAAGCATATCTATATTTCTACTTGAGCTAAAGTACAAATGTATAAGGGATGCAACTGTACGGTGGGCCAAAGTTTGGTATGTATCATGGTTTTCGGGCCATGGTAACAGTACCGTTGCGGTATCTTTATATTTAAGGAAAAAAAAAAACACCATTGAAACAATGAACTCCATATACAGACAAATAAAACTTCCCATTCTGAAAAACGGCAGCGTCACAGACTGATCCTGGTTTCTATCTCTGCTTCATGAAATCAAAGGGAGAAAAATATTAAAACTAAAAGTGCTTTTTAGGTCTGACAACCTGTCGGTGCTTTGCCTTCTCTGTTTTTAATAATTAAAGAGAGCTGGACAGGGTGTCAGTGCCCATTCGGTTTCACTTCTCTCCGTGATCACAGAGTTTGCGAATTACGTTGTTGCTGAAATTTGTGCGGGACGGACACTGCAAAGGCCAAAATGGGCCCTGTTACAAAAATGGCTCAAGTCCATTTTTACACTCTACTCGTATAAACTGAATTAAAAAAGTGTTCAGCACCACTTATCACGCTTGACGTCAGTTTACTACCTCTACACAGACTGGCTGTAAAAGTTTAGGCTAGAAACATTAGCTGAGGTAACTTTCTATTAGTTGTTTACCTAAAAGACAGGCTATCGGAGTCACAAGCTGCACGCTGACTCAGAGTGGCAGTGCTGGTGTGCGGACCTTGATTAAAACCAAAGGTTTCATTTTGGTTCACTGTGTGATGTGACGCGTCTCATCTGGTGTGCAGTGGCCTTAACTTGTCTGTCTTGCTAGTGTTCGCCATTGTCACATTGGAGCTGAGGGATCATTTAGTTCCTCTACATATATGTGTATATATATATATATATATTTTTTTTTAAGCATTTGGTGATTTGGTCGCCGTAGATCATCACAGCCGTGATGCTATTGGCGATAACACACTCCTCACTTTTATACAACAGTTAAATAAATAAAGTAATAAATTAATAAACTGGGCCGTGAACGCGGCGTTTAATATGTTTTAATGTTCACAGTTCCTTCACCAAATTATAGTTCCTTAACGAGCAGCTTGTTGCTGCGTCAGAGTAACGAGCTCCGCCCACTCGCTGCACAGCCGGCAGTTCGTTCTCCAGCTCCTTACACTAAATTCCCAAACTCTCATCACCGCTGAGCAGCTTTTCTGTTTTTTATTCAGTTTTATGGCTCAGTCTGATTTGGTCAGACTCTGAAGATCAGACTACACGTTTGGCAAATGGTATTGGGTTCATTTCTGGCTGATTCCAGGTTGTTCAGCTGTTCTTCTGTCTCAGCTGCCGACTGAAAAGCTGCTCAGTGGTGATGACAGTTTGGGAATTTAGTCTCATCTTCAGAGTCTGACCAAATCGGCTGTCGGTCAAATGTGACCTTAAAAGTGTCCATTTTCTGTTTGTGGCAAAGTAAGAAGTAAAAATGTTCAAATGGCTTGAGCGTCTCCTACAGCTGTCAGAGTCGTTGCTTAGCAACGGCGTCTCAGTGGAGTGATACAGCATTTGTGAAAAAAACGTGATGTTATGGTGAAATAACAGCACAGTTAGAACGCTTCTCAACCAATCAGCTCGGGTGGCCGGAACTCACTGTTGTATACAGAAATATATACATATATGTATACGTATAGATAGATATAGATATAAACTTTGCCTGATTCTACAAACAATTCTATGTAAATACAGACATTTCTGTCATTTATTTGAGTCATTTGAGTGCAGAATATGCAGCAGATTGTTTCACAGCATCCAATAAGCTAAGCTAACTAGCGAGCAAGGTAGTTAATTGGCCCAACTAGGCTCTCAAAGTGACATAAAATGACTAAAACATTAATGAAATAATTAATAGCAGTCATTTTGAAGGTTCTAGCTCTCTTTTAAGCAGGTAGAAGATAAACTAGAACAAGAGCTATGGTCCCTATTTGGATCTGTTGTTGTTTTTAAATGTGCGTGCCCGTAAGAGACGAATATTGCCCAATTAAATGGGCGATTGCATTATTACACTAAAACATCTGCAATAGGTAAAAAGTTGACTGAACACACGACACAGTAGAAGAGGAACTGTTCCATTTCTTGTGGTTATGAAGAAAATGCACACCCAGCTTTTAAAGACCTTAGAAAAAAAACATCCATCTAGGCAAAATTCTACACTTCCACTACAGCGGTTCCATAACCAGAGCAAATATTTAATAGAATATTATGAAGGAACATTTCCGCAGATGAAGCCTGGCAGGCTGCTTGCTATCGAGCTGTTATAATTTAAATAAAGATCTTTACAAACAAGGACACTGAAGAAAAAATAAAAAAGCACAGCTGTCATGGTTCTGTCAATGCAGCAAGAGGAATCTGTTCTGGCAGGTGTGCGTGTTTACAGGCACCGTCTCACATGTTTGGTTAAAAAACTTTCAGCGTGAAGAGATGAAGCCTGATAGAGCATTCAGAGCAGTGCTGAGTAATACATCACCTACACTGGCCAGAGGACAAAACAGCTTTACTCGAGCGAAAGCAGAAGCATTTTAGGTAAAACATTACTTGATTAAACATGTATAGGTCTCCTACAGTCACACGCAAAAGTTTACATATCCCTGGTCAAATTCCACGTAAAAATAAGAACACAAGTCAACACACACCGATCAGGCATAACATTATGACCACCTCCTTGTTTCTACGCTCATTGTCCATTTTATCAGCTCCACTTACTATATAGGTGCACTTTGTAGTTCTACAGTTACAGACTGTAGTCCATCTGTTTCTCTGATACTTTGTTAGCCCCCTTTCACCCTGTTCTTCAGTGGTCAGGACCCCATGGACCCTCACAGAGCAGGTACTATTTGGGTGGTGGATCATTCTCAGCACTGCAGTAACACTGACGTGGTGGTGGTGTGTTAGTGTGTGTTGTGCTGGTCTGAGTGGATCAGACACAGCAGTGCTGCTGGAGTTTTTAAAAACCTAGTGTCGCTGCTGGACTGAGAATAGTCCACCAACCAAAAATATCCAGCCAACAGCGTCCTGTGGGCAGCGTCCTGTGACCGCTGATGAAGGACTAGAGGATGACCAACACAAACTGTGCAGCAGCAGATGAGCTGTCGTCTCTGACTTTACATCTACAAGGTGGACCGACAAGGTAGGAGTGTCGGTGAGTGAACACAGTGTTTACTAAAGAACATTTGAACAACCATTATTTTTAAGTGTGTATAAGGATTATCTTATATCTAATCTCATATCTTATATCTAACCTCCTGCAAAATGAATAACTTGCACTTAAAGGCTGTTTTGATTGGTAGTTAAACAGATGAGGGGGGTCTCTGAGTTTTGCACAGTACTGTATGGAAAGTAACAGGTTGTTTGTTTCCACACTCGAATATCAAAATGCACACAGGAAGCCCACTCGAGTGACTCTGGTTTCCGTTTGAGGGGTTAAGAGTATCTGTGGCTCGGAGTGTTAATGAGGCTACCTGTGGTGTGGTGATGATGACGGCTCCATCAATGCCAGCTCCACTGAGGTACTGCACTACAGACAGGTGCTCGTCTGAGGTGCCCGGCGGCGTGTCCACTATGAGGTAGTCCAGCTCACCCCAGTCTACGTCCCTCAGGAACTGCTTTATCATGCCTGGACACAAACAACAAACACATCTTATAAACAAACACAACAGTAAAGCATCTACACTGTAAAAAAGACCTCTAACATTTTTTAAAGTAACTCATTCCACCTTAAGATGTTGTGGTCACTGCATTTCTAACAGGTCATTTATAGCACAGTAATCTTTGTGTTACATTCTGGTAAATCATTAACTGAAGCTCAATAAAATAGACAGTCTAAAGCAGCTGGGCCTGCTTTAGGTTATACCACCAACTTAGAAAAGAACATGAAAAGAAAAAATACAGACAAAATGAAAATGTAAAAGAAGGCAGAGTAAAAGAAAAGGAACAGAGTAATAAAGTGCAAAAAATGTAAGGCTTAGATAGCAATAAAGAAGCAACAATGAACAATAGCTTAAAGAAATAAAAATAATAATCAAAAGGAAATAAGATGCATAACATGGCATGGCTGTATATTACGGACATCTCTACAGTTATCACTGCGCTTCTTCACAAACCGATTTATTTAGAGCTGTCGAAGTGAAAACGTTTAAAACATGTTAATATGATAAATTATTAATGCCACTCATTGTTTTATTGTAATGCACTGTAACGCAAGTTTGGCCTTTCGACCTGTCTGTATCACCGCAGCTGCATCGCTGTTTGTCGCTCTGATAGAATCCATGATTGTAGCTCTCGTTCAAATACAGCTTTTAAATGTGTTTTAAAGCAAAACCTTCAGCTCCTTCGGCAGACCTCGCTGGACAGACACTCATAAGAGAACCATGGATAAATCTACCAGCAGCAAACAAAACAAAACAAAAGCAGCATAAATACACCAGTGAACCTATATGTGTCTTCGGATATTTATATGGAACACTGATGATGGTAAAATAGTGATAAATCTTAAATAATAAGGTTTCTTTGGGGACTATTTTGCCTTGCGTGTACTTCTCTGCCATGGATTTATTTTAAAAACACACTTTTGGCCCAAAACAGAGTATAAAACAGTGTCTCAGTCATCAGGCAGTGAATTCATAACCATTTCATGTAGTAACTTTCTGTGAGGAGCTTTTAGAGGTGGACGTCTGGTTCCTATCACCACCACTGTGAACAGTTCTGACTCGGTAAGCTTATCTAGAACAGAGCGTTTCACACCAAACCACTCTGAATGACTCTGTTTACATCTTAACCACTTAATTAAAATTGAAATTATGCAAAGAAGTCGTAAAATTGGTGGAATTCCCCTTTAAAAACACTTCTCATTCTAACTTCCCTAACCAGGAAAGTCACTCTCCAAAACACTCTGTACACAGACTCCCAGTGACCTTCCTCTCCACACACATTCTTATCAAACACACACTTTCCACATTTCAGGAGTGCTTCTACTCAGTATTCTCAAAATAAATGGGTAAACATGCGCAGGGGAATTCCACCAATGTTTCAAAATCTCCACACTAGTAAATCATTAACATGTAAACATGTAAACAAAGTCATTCAGAGCGGTTCAGTGTGACACGCTCCATTCACGGAACTGTTTACAGTGGCGTTAATATGAACCAAACGTCCACCTCTTAAAGCTCCCTCACAGAAAGTTATTATAGGAAATGGTTATGAATTCACTGCCTGATGACTGAGACACTGTTTATGATAGTTTTTACAAAAGAAGGTTGTTTTATGGCAAAATAGTCCCCAAAGAAAGCGTATTATTTTAGATTTCCCACTATTTTCCATCATCAACATTCCATATGAACTCAGAAGACTCGTGTAGGTTCACTGGTGGTTCTGGATAGTAAATAAAATGTCTATATTTGAGTTGTAGTCATGGTAACCCCTGGTTCCTATCACCACCACTGTAAAGAAATCTCAGTGAAATTCCCCTTTTAATCCTTTAACATTTTCTAATCTCTCCAGATATTTGAAACATGAGTCAGAACTGTTCACAGTGGTGGTGATAGGAACCAGACGTCCACCTCTAAAAGCTCCCTCACAGAAAGTTCCTACATGAAATGAGACATTGTTAAGAACAGTGTTCTTATTTAGCACTTTATTTAGCGTTTAGTACCGAATTCTTACAGCATGTGAATGGCCCACAGTGGCCCCAGGTTTTTGGTCATCCTGTGTAGATAAAGTGGCAGTAAACTATGAGAGGCTGTCACAGTCGGCAGAAGGACGCAGCAGAGGCAAGTAGTCCCGGCTGAAAGGGAACTACATTACCCCCTGCCACTCTTCCTCCCAGTAGCCACCAGAGCTACAGATGACTGGGGAAGATTATCAGACAGCGATGTTTTTGCACTGATCCAGGGGAAGTGAAACCAGGCTAAATGTGGCTCTGTTTTTCTTGTTTTTTTTTCTTTCTGCAAAGAAGAAGGAACTTCTTTTTTTTTTTCTTCTTTACAAAAACGTCTACTGTGGATCTTTTAAATGTAGTTAAATATCACCGGCTGGATAACACTGGGGCTGTCATTACACGGTAATTCAAGAAAACAATAAGAGCTTAAAAATATATGTACTAATACAAATTTCAAAAGAAAATCTGCAGTGATTTGTAAATCCGTTTGACCTGCTTTCAGTTTATTTCGGAAATACACACCAATTAGCCACAACATTCAGTCCACCTCTTTGTTTCTACACTCACTGTCCACTTTATCAGCTCCACTGACTATATAGGTGCACTTTGTAGTTCTACAGTTACAGACTGTAGTCCATCTGTTTCTCTGATACTTTGTTAGCCCCCTTTTACCCTGTTCTTCAGTGGTCAGGACCCCCATGGACCCTCACAGAGCAGGTACTATTTGGGTGGTGGATCATTCTCAGCACTGCAGTGACACTGACATGGTGGTGGTGTGTTAGTGTGTGTTGCGCTGGTCTGAGTGGATCAGACACAGCAGTGCTGCTGGAGTTTTTAAACACCTCAGTGTCACTGCTGGACTGAGAATAGTCCACCAACCAAAAATATCCAGCCAACAGCGACCTGTGGGCAGCGTCCTGTGACCACTGATGAAGGACTAGAGGATGACCAACACAAACTGTGCAGCAGCAGATGGGCTATCGTCTCTGACCTTCCATCTACAAGGTGGACTGACAAGGTAGGAGTGTCTAATAGAGTGGACAGTGAGTGGACACAGTGTTTAACAGTGTTTAGCACTGGGGTTTCATTTCAGATTGTTTATGGAAATAATGGATGTTTTGTTCTCCGGGCCAAAGAAGAAAAGCACCATCCAGATTGTTACCAGTGTAAAGTTCAAAATCCAGCACCTGTCTGGCTATGAGGTGGAAAGTAACCATGGCATGGGAAACCGGTAAAGCACCATTAAAGCTGAAAATACACACAAAATCCTGCTTTCAGACCCGGATCAACTGTTGTCTTCAGTCCACAAATAAAGTGTTGTGCAAAAGCAAAGGGGATGTAACGCAGTGGCAAACATGCTCCTGTCCCAACGTCTTGCAGGCATCAAATATCATGTGTTTGTTTTTGATTTAATGCAGGTCAAACTGAATTTACTCAACACTGCTTTCTGTTTTTCTTAGCCTTTCACATACTGTCCCAGTATGAATTGTATACATCCAGAGGGGACATCATGACAGCCCTTTGTTTAACACAGGGGACGGCAACATGCAGCTCTTCTACTGTCCTGTTGTCTCCACAGCTGAATTAGATTTGTGGGTAAAAATAAAATAATCCTCCTTTACAGTAAAATAAAGCTCTGCTGATCGTTCAACACAGTTTAACAATAAATCATCTTAAACTCTGGAGTTAATGTAGAACTGCTGATTCACCCTTTAACCCTGAAGATCAGCGCAGACTGCTGGTCACCATAGCAACACAGACAACAGTCTCACCTAGCTAGTAGCTAACAAAACGGAAAAGAGAGAGATTTAAGATGAACATCGATAATCTGGAGATAAATGGACTGATTTGTGTTTATAATCACTCCAGTTGGTTTCCTGTTACGTTTAATCTGCAGCAAGAAACTGACAAACACTACAAGTTTCTCATTCTCCAGCTTCTTGTTAAAATTGTCCTGTTCCACCTTAAATGGTGCAGCAGGTACATTCTGGTGCCTCAGGCATAATTTAAGGTGGAACGGGAAAATTCGAACAAGAAGCTGGCGAATGAGAAGCGACTTCAGCCTCATAAAAACTCGAATATTGAGAGACATTTTACAAGAAACTGTTCTACTTTTGGAAAAGTTTCCTGCTGGAGATGCGAAAAAAGCAGCTATAGCTGAGCTAAAGCTTAAAGCAGAGCAAAGAAAGTCTGTGTTTTTTGTTTATATTATATTTTTATCCTATACTAGCACATCAGCACATACTGAGACATATTTACAGCCAAGATGGTAAAATGGGTGTAAAATGTTGTGGCTCTCAAAGGGGTTTGATTTTTGTTGAAAGGACAAAACGGCTCTTCTTAACATTTACATAGCCGACCCCCAGTATAACACACAGTTCTGGAATAATTAATGGGCTAGACTTCTGAAAGTCTGAAAAAGTTGTGATTATTAACATTTCAAAATAATTCATCAGCTGACAAGCATCTTATTCATCAACGCTCAGCTGAAGCCGACAATGAAACAAATACAAACCATTCTTCTTGGGGCCCCTCCAGATAACTGCATCATCAGGGCTGCCGAGCAGGAAGCCAATGGACATGACCGCCAGGTTGTCCTCTACATACTACAGATAAGAATGCATATCAGTATAGGACACAAACAAATACACAAGAACACACTGTCAGTACCACAATGGTCTGTTATTAAACTGCTTTGCGCCTTTGTTTATGTTATTTTTAGGGCTGGTTATATGAATGTATGGGAAAACAAAGACAACTGGGTAAGATCCTGCTGCTTAACAATGACCCAAACATGACATTAACATGACACGTCACGTCACAAATTGTCACCAAGGCACATAAGCACATTACTTAAGACCAGTTATCCCAGCAGTGAATGTGTTTTGCATGCAAAAACACTGAATATCATTAGAATAAATACAAATAAATACACAAAAAAGGCAACACAAACTTCTCTTTCTTCCAAAAAAAGTAGTTATGTGATAATTAGAGAAACACAGTTTGGTTCCAGATTTCTCCTGGACATCCCGTCGATTTGTTATACGATCAGCACGTTCGATTTAACATAACTAAGCACCGATTAGCCAAAGCAGGTATTGGATTATAACTGCATAATAAACTGTATAATAAAGCGCAGCAGTGGATTATAACTGTATAATAAACTCTGGGGTTCTCCATGGAGAGGTTTGGAAATGGTCAAATGAAAACATGGACACACATAAAATAACTACTTATTATATTATTAGTTTTATTTGTTATTGTTTAAGTTTAAGTTACCCTTTATTTGTCCCACAACAGGGAAATTCACCTCTGCATTTAACCCATCCGTGCAGTGAAGCACCACATACACACTAGTGAACACACACTCGAGGGCAGTGAGCAGACTTGCCCGGAACCGTGGGCAGCCCCATCCACGGCGCCCAGGGAGCAGTTGGGGGTTAGATGCCTTGCTCAAGGGCACTGCACTCACGTACTGTCAGCTCAGGGGACTGAACCGGCGACCTTCCGGTCACAGGGATTGCTTATGGTCCGCATAAAAATAGCATAAGCCATCATGACAAACATTATTTCATCATTCTGTTCCCCATATATGTTAAATTCAGCTAATAAACAGCAACTGTCCATTTAAACGTGCAGAAGTGTGTCTCTGTTGAGGAAGTGTAACTTATTTACTTAGTGACCGGGGCGCCCAAACTTTTGGACTGTATTTCAGTGTTATGCAGCAGGGCTCAGCTGAAGTGTCACCCATATTTGTTTATTCAAATCATCATCTCTTATGCTGGCTGCACACAGTAAACTAATAAACACTGCAAAAACTGGTATCTTGTCAAGTGAAATGATCTTACGCCTAGTCAGTATATCTAATATTTCCCATTCTGAGATGGCTGTGCACTTATTAGATTATCTAGCTTATTTCTGGACATTACAGGTAGTTTTATTAAGTAAAATGACCTCACTATACTGGCAGATAATTTTGCTGGTTTCAAGCTGAATTCTTTCAACAAGCAAATTTATCTGCCAATATAGTGATAGTTTTACTTAATAAAATCATTTAAAATAATTTAAAAAAGTCTAGAAATAAGGTAATTAGTCTTAAATTAGGCATATAACATCCTCAACAGGAGAAATATCACATTTAATGACTATTTTTATGATAATGTTACTTGAAAAGATATCACTTTTTGCAGTGAACCTGTGTTTTTATTTTCTGTTCATAACTAAGGCTGAATGATTGCTTTTATTTTGAAATTTGCGATTTGAAAGAGTTTAATTTCTAAATCGCAAGAGCTGCAATTTTTATTACAGTCTACTTTATCAACAAAGATGGTTTTAAGGGAGAACATTTAAACTGATAACACTGAGCTTGTGAACCACCTGTAGCTGAATCAGACCAATCAGAAGCAACTAAACCATTTACATGACATCAAAATCAAATCTACATTCAGTGTTTAAGCTTCCAAGACAGAAACAATTAATCTGTTTGTGTTCTTGGCCCAAAAAAAACAGGGCTTAATGTATAGAAAGTTTAAGTCTTAGGCTACGTTCACATTACCAGGCTGAAGTGGCACAAATCAGATTTTTTGCCCTAATGTGACTCAGATCTGATGTTTTCAGGGCTGTGTGGACACAAATCTGATCTTTTCAAATCCGACCTAAACCACTTTCCTATGTGGTCCTAGATCGGATACGTATCCAATTCGTGGCCATGTGACCTTAATGTGACGCTCAGATTGGAATTCATGTGCTTTTTTCCACTGCACGTGCTCCATCATTCAGCGTTACCATGGCAACAGCGCCAAACAGACGTTAAAGCCTGTAAACGGTGGAAAAGCAGCTCATCTCACCTTTTTCTCCTTCGTCTCGCTCTAATAATGAAGCTGAGAGCTGATCAGAGTTAATGATCTTCTCAGCGAAGCTCGTTCTGCTCGTTAGTTTGTGCTGATGATGAACGTGATTCGTTCACGTGACGTTACTGAGTAGGATGAGCGCATGAGGGTCATTTCAGGATGCCGGTTCGTCACATTAATGACAGATTTGAGTCATTTACCTAAGCGAGTGTGGACCATCGAGTCAGAGAGATCGGATTTGAGCAAAAAATCGGATTTGAGCAACGAGGCTTGTAATGTGAACGTAGCTTTAGTCTCAATACTGGTCAGAAAAATCGCAATTTTTTTACCCAAATCGTTCAGCCCTATTCATAAAAATATGAAATATTTTCAAACAGCAAAAGTGGCTTAAATGTCCATCCCTTCTTGTTTTACAGTAAAAGCATGGAGATCCTCACCACAGGAGACCAGCCAGAGCCACTCTGATGAACCTGCACGAAGAAAAAGACAGAGCGTGTTACAGATATGACACATTAAGAACAGCCATGTCTGCAGAAACAGCACACAAAACAGGAGCCTGTTTTAAGTGTGATTGCATCACATTTACAGGCAATCATGTTAATCTTTGGGAAACTGTGGCTATATGAGCTAATAAAAACAGAATTTATGTGTTAAACATAGTTAGTGTGAACTGTAGGTACAGAAACAGCAGCACTTATAACCATGTGGACGGCGACAGTGTGAAAGATCACAACACTAAATGCCAAACAAGGATAGCCCACATTAGAAAAGAGGAACAGAAACTGCAGTGAAAACTCAGCACACAAGCTGCTAAAAAGCCACGAAACCAGGCCAGAATTTCAAACACTCAGCAAGCAAACGCTGCACGTCTGAGAAGGTCCTCCAATCTGGAACTGTCTCTTTATACGACAAATCTCAAAACCCAATCATGAGATAAAATCTTTCACTCTTTCTTGTTAAAACTGAAAGAAGTAGCATTACTGAGTATGGAAGAAGAAGAAGACACTAAAATATGGCGAGAGTCGCCCTGTAAAGCCTGAAATAATCATTTAAAAGTCAAGGGCGTTGGGTTTTTCACACCACGTTGTACGTCTTTACGCTTTAACGTCACACACAGACTCAAAAAGTAGGTCCTGCTCGATGTTTAGGCTTCAGATGATCTCAAAATCAACATCACACTGATGAAGATGTGACCCACATCCTCAGAAAACACTCCTTCACTGAGTTCAGACTGAGCTCTCTCTGAATTCTCTCTCTTAACTCACTCGCAAAAGTCACACTCATCGCTCGTGTGGGTCTGAAGCACAACTGACGTTATAAAACGTTCGGTGTGTGCAATTACACACAGGTGCAGGTGCAAAAACAGACGGCGGTACTGGAAATAAGCGAGCAGCGTCGCTGCAAGACGCAGCAGAACAGTTTTAAAGCCACGCTGAAACCAACTTGTGCTATTCTTCATCTTCTAGATGATGTACGTTCATATTTTCAGGCAAAATGGCTTGATGTTTTAAAAAAAAGCCGCAGCATGAAGTTTTGCATTACGTTCACGTTACGTTGTCTTCTGTGAGTTTATTGGCTGGTTGTAAAGCAGAAATCTGATTACTGTCTGACTGTCTGGAGTTTCCCCATTATCTGATTACCCAAGAGAACATGGTGATTGGATTACTAACAGAACCTGATTTTCTGCGTGCACTATTACTGAGTGCACGTAAACGCATTCACTGTGAGTGAGCTTAATTAAAACTAGACAAAAAAGGATAAAATTAAAACCTAAAATACAAAATTATATCAGCAGATATTATCAGATATCGTAATTTTTAGCTTCTTAAAATCGGTATCGGCTATAAACGTTTTCATATCGGTCGGGCCTTACAACACATGCACTTCCCAAATTAAACCTGCTCTGAACTGCTTATCATCGATTAAAATGTTGTGTGCACTGAAATACTACTGCTAAAGCTTTTCTCAATAAACAAAATTACCAAAATTATCGGCGATAACACACTCCTCGAGTGTTCTACTGCTTTTATACAACAGTTAAATAAATAAAGTAATAAATTAATAAACTGGGCCGTGAACGCAGCGTTTAATATGTTTTAATGTTCGCAGTTCCTTCACCAAATTATAGTTCCTTAACGAGCAGCTTGTTGCTACGAGTAACGAGCTCCGCCCCCTCACTGCACAGTCTGCTGTAAGACTCGCCTTCTGAAGTGCAGACTGAGCCATAAAACTGCTGCAATATCAAGTTCAGCTCAGTTTTGTCAGTTTTTGCCAGATCAGTATTAATGTTGTTTTGTTCCAGCCAGTCTGTAAAGCATCTTACAGCCCGTTTAGTTTGGCGAATGGAGTTGGGTTCATTTCTGGCTGATTCCAGGTTGTTCAGCTGTTCTTCTGTCTCAGCTGCCGACTGAAAAGCTGCTCAGTGGTGACGACAGTTTGGGAATTTAGTGTCGTCTCATCTTCAGAGTCTGACCAAATCGGCTGTCGGTCAAATGTGATCTTAAAAGTGTCCGTTTTCTGTTTGTGGCAAAGTAAGAAGTAAAAACGTTCAAATGTCTTGAGCGTCTCCTACAGCTGTCAAAGTCGTTGCTTAGCAACAGCGTCTCAGCGGAGTGATACAGTGTTTGTGTAATGTTATGGCGAAATAACAGCACAGTTAGAACACTTCTCAACCAATCAGCTCGCGTGGCCGGAACTAACTGTTGTGTGTGTGTGTGTGTGTGTGTGTGCATATATATATATATATATATATATTATATATATATATATATATAATATATATAACACACACACCTTCTGCCCTGCGATGGACTGGCGACCTGTCCAGGGTGTATCCTGCCTTCTGCCCAATGACAGCTGGGATAGGCTCCAGCACCCCACCGCCACCCAGAAGGATAAGCGGTTTAGATGATGTATGTATATACACACCTGTTTGTGGCATGGACGTGGTGTGGACTGTCCATGGAGATCATCATGGTGATGATGATTCAGTGGTGCAGTGACACCACCTCTGTCAAAAATGTGATCTTGCAGATTTTAACCAGCTAAACGGGACAAAGCTGACGCCTCTGAAGGCACCTCTCATGATACGTTATGCAAAACAAGATTAACCTCTGTTAGCTCTCCTTCTCCTTTCATTGATCTTTCGCTTTCATCAACAAATATTAGTCACAAAGCAGACTTACAGAGACCACATTGAGCAACGCAGAATTGAAAGTGGTGAGAAGAAATTCCCCCAGACAGATCAGGGAGGAAATCAGTGTCTTAAAAGAACTAAGATACAACTATAGACGTATGTCACTGTGCAGCAGACGGAGACGAGACGCTGCATTAATTCATTTCCAGTCAAAAAAGGCCATTGAGGACAAGATACTCGGTTTTCAGTGTCAAGACAAAATGCAGAAAACATATTTAACAGAAAACAACATGGAAATCAACCCATTTCACTCCTCGGCCTACCACTGAGCCCTTACCCCTCCGTTTCACGTCTAGGGGTAGGGTGTCCCGATTCTTGTTGAGATAGAGGGGGAGGGTGAAGTGTTGGGGCTACATGACCCTCCAAACAGAGGTTTTTCAGAGACTCCAAACAGAGAGATATGAGAAAAAAGAAAAACAGGTGTTCTAACAGTTTGTACTACAGTCAAGTAACTTAATGCTCCAAACATTTTATTGTGCTTTAAATGTTAATTCAGAACAGACTCTGCTTAATATCATTACTTACTGCCCGATAAGGTGATTTATGTGATAGAAATATCCTAATTATTCTTTTAATGCTGCAAATTATCCTACCTACAGATTTCATTGCTGGTAGCCCTTTCTGACGGGGTAATTCAGGGCATTAAAACATCCTAAAAAAATCTCACAAATGTGAGAATTTTCTCTGCTAAAAAATATGATAACCACCGTTTTATCTTAGTTTAATGTCATTTCAGCGTATTTTGGACTTTTTCTTCATAACAAGCATTAAAATTGCTTATAGTGTGCTAATGTCTCGGAAGCTAGCTAACTTTCCCGTTCCACCTTAATAAGTGCAGCAGTTCTGACGCCTGGTGCACCATTTAAGGTGGAATGGGAAAATTAGAACAAGAATCTGGTGAATATCTGACTTCAGCTTCATATCACTGAAGAATTAGGGGTGGGTGATAATAAATAATTGCCCCCCTCTTTGAAAGCATATGATGCCCTAAATGTAACTAAAGCCCAGCAGTGAGGAGCTGAACTTTACCCTCCTCTGCTGTCACTGCAGACTGGCAGGGTCGCCTACAGAGCAGCGCTGGTAGCTGTTAATGAAGTGATGCTCTTTTTATTTGAGGGTCCCATTTCAGAGGAAGATTTCAACCACTACCCTGTAACTCAGCTCCAAGGGGCAAGGTGACACTCAAAAACAAGGGGTAGGGGTAAAAATAAGAAACGGGACTGGGCCTAAATCTAATATCAGCTGTTTGAGTGTTCAGTGTGTCACTCTTTACCTTTATTACAGCTTCCTTTCCTTTTTAGGAGTGTACTAGAGAGGGGTAACAACAGTAGAACCCTTTTTGGTGCTGTACAGAACCATTTCCAGATCTAAAAATGGTTTCTCAAGGGTTCTTTAGTAATCACCATGGTCCATCTGCATGCTTAAAGGGTTCTTTGAATGAGGGTTCTTCAGAGTCATCGAGAATGTGTTGTATGTTGTTCTATATAAAACCTTTTTTTAAAAAGTGTTCAAAGTAGCACCGAAAAAGGTTCTGCTATTATCACAATCTCAAGCTTTCCATATAGAACCGTATACAACAATCTTCAAGGATATGAACCATTTCACCATGCAAAGAACCTTTATGCATTTAAATTGTTTCCCAAGTGTTCATGGTTCTATACAGAACCATTGTCGCTACTAAAGAACCCTTGAAGAACCATCTTTTTAAAGTCTGCTTTAAAGAACCATATACAGAAGGTTTACTCTGTATCCACTGTCTTTAAGAGCTCTCTTAAGAAATGGTTCTTTAGTAAAGGCAATGACTCTATATTTAACCACAAGCACCCAAAGAACTCATGAAGAACCCTTTTCTAAGGGTGTGCCTTTATTCCAGCTTCCATTCTTTTCAGCAGACTCTCTTTCAGCTCCTCAAAGAATCTGCAGACACACCTCCAAAGTTCAGTCTTAGAAGTTGGTTGATCGTTTTCTGAAGTAATCAAACACATTCAGTGGTGTTGTTAGGAGACACATTTTCTCTGGAGCTTTTAATCAGTTTTCAGGTTCTTCAAGGGTTCTTTAGTGAAGAAATGGTTCTATATAGAATCATGAACACTCAAAGAACCCTTTGCATGACTAAAGGGTTTGAAGCAAACTTCTTTGCTTCATGAAAGCGTTCTTCAGACTGATGGAGAATGTGTTGTATATGGTTCTCTACAGCACCAGAAAGGTTCCTTCTATTGTAACAAGCCTGACATCACAACTATATTTTCAAAGTGGTTTATAGTGGTATATAGAACCACCTAGAGCACATTCTCTCAATGCAGCACTTTATTTGATTCGTGTTATTTAAAAAGGTGATTCAGTGATGTAAAGGGGGGTTATTCCGAGTGGTCCAATGTGCCTGATGTAAAATTACACCCTGTAGAAAGTTTTGTTTAAGTCCTTTTTTTTTATTTGGGGTGTGAGGACCCCCTCAGTCACACAACGCCACCAGTGCTAGAAGGGCAAAAGCAGACTTCCTACAAGACCTGTGAAGCGAACCACCAGTCTAAGTTCTTTTATTAGTTATTATCTTTTATTAGTTCTTATATTAGTTATTCTTTTATTTCTTTTATTAACTTTTCAATAAATGTTTCCCTATTTGAGCTGCTATTTTTACAATTTTTGGTTTATTCTGATTTAAGAGATTTTTTACTATTCTATTTAGCAAATTTTAGTAATATTTTTTTTTAGCATTTGATTTTTTTTTTTTTTACCATCAGATTTTTTCAATCCCTGATTTCTGTACTGGCTGTACTGAGGGTCACCCACAACGTACTCAAATGCAGTATAAATAAAGGTTGATTGGTAGCAAATCTAACGTTAATTCCAGGTTCAAACTAGTTTCTCAGTAGGCTGAACTGGATTTTTGTTGATGTGCTTTAAAGCCTGACCAATCAGCAACAGTCATTACAAAACTGAGTTGTGGGTGGAGCTCAGACGGCCAATTACTGAATGATGTGCAGGTAAAACGCACAGCTACACAGCTCAGAGACTCCAAGAGCACGTTTGGGAACCACTGCTGTAGCTGCCTGTGTGCGGTATAGAACACTACAGACCAGCGCTTCCCAACCCTCTCCATATTTTAGTGTGTTCCCTGCGCCCAACCCACCTGATCCAGCTAAAAGGTTAATTAGCCCCACCTGAGCTGCACAGAAATGCACAGGGCTTGTTTTGAGAGCCACTGCTACAGACCACCTTCTCTCACTCTTTCTCCCTCCCTATCCGCCGCTCTCTCCCGCTCTCGTCTTTCCTCTTATCTCCCACTCTGCCTCTCTGTCGTTCCCAGGATGCTTATTAAATGTGCTGCTGCTCTGTCGTCCCCCGTCAGTTGGGGGGGGGGATGGACGCTGTCACCGTCTCCTATAGTGCAGAAACACAACCGTCTCCACTCACTCCTCACACTGCTCTCTTTCACAGCTCCTAAAGCCCTGCAGACGCACTCACACCCATTTCTGCTACTCAGATATATACTTGTGAATGTAAATCAAAAACATTGGAGGTTTAAAGGGGAATTTCTGCATAATTAAGTGGTTAAGGTGTAAACAGAGTCATTCAGAGGGGTTTGATGTGAAACGCTTCGTTCCAGAGAAACTTACTGAGTCAGAACTGCTCACAGTGGTGGTGATAGGAACCAGACGTCATACATACATACATACATACACACACACGCACACGCACATATATACACTTCACTTCAAGCCCACGGAGCATGACCTTAAGACCCTTAAAGACAGTTTCCACGGAAATGACTAGAATGTGCCATAATACAGTGACACAGGTGGTGCAGAAAAGGGGCGTTTAAAGGTTCTGGTGACTAAAATCCTGTGAAAAGGGTTGTGAATTGTGCTGACATACCTGCTCTCCCTCCAGCCCCATTATTTTGGGTATTGATGGTCCACAAATGTCTATGTCCAGCAGAGCAACCTGGAATTAAGAATGGAAACTATTAGCCATCATACGTCCTCTATATGACACTGTTACATGACGTCCCTCACTGAGTCACTGTCACTGCTGATTACACTAGTGACTGAGTAACAAACCGATTTCTCTGTCAATTAACTGAGCATTCAGAGCTTTTAATAAAGGCCAAATTAAGGCTTAACAGAACAAACCCAAACCATGCCGACTCCAAAATAATAAACAAGAGGGCTTTTACACTTCTTATGTATGTTTATAAACATGACCATTCAAAAGTGTGGAATCACTGTTTTAAATAAGACGGAGCAAATTTTGTTGCAGATACATGCAATAAATTATTATATTATTATATTATGATGTTTATATTCTATGGGTTACAGTAGCAGGAAAATAAAAAAAATGTTCAATGAGCTGCAAATGACTGACTGCATAATAACCGAGAATGCCTGCAATAAAATATAAATAATAAATGATTATTACATAATAGAATTATTATTAAATTATTTTATTTAAAATAAAATAACGTTATTTTTATAAAAATTGATTAATTTATAATCAGTTTATATACATATATATATATATATATATATATATATATATATATACATACATACATACATATGTATATATAATATTGCTTCATATAAATATATCTAAATTAATAAATTCTCTTTGTATTACTTATATTAATTACATAAATAAAAGTACAAGTTAAATTTTATTTTATATATTATGCTTATATATAAAACATATAATAATATATAAAATATATATTTATATATATATACATATATATACACATACACTTATTTTCCCCCCAGTTACATTTTTAATCAAATAATCATGACAGTCTTTGTAAACATGCATGAAGCATATAAGATGCAATAACGAAATGCTGCCACAAGATGGCAGTGTTCTACAGAGCAAACCCAGGTCACACAGAGTGCATAGATGTATGAAAAGCCCAGGACTGGACCCTTTCTGACTCGTTTCATATGTCAGACAGCAGCTTCATCCTGTCCAGCCTGTCTCAGCCACACCGCCGCCGTTTCCTCGCCCTCGGGCACTTTAATCTCTATGAACGTGTCTTTTGCCCCGACAGAAAGGGATCCTTAATTGCCCTCTGCAGTTCCCACAAAGCTCTCACTGTTACGAGCTCCGAAGGCCGAGAGCGACAGCAGAGCTCCGTACAGAGCCGACACACACTTAGAACAAAGGAGAAACCGTTTCAGCCCCCAGCGTCCTGCGCGTCAAAGAGGAAGCCGTATCGGTTTCAGCCTCTGAGGGATGAGAGGCGGCCTGATGTGCTGCTCGTTGGGAAGTGAGCAGGTGCGAGTCGTGGGAGTCTGAACGTGTGTGCACCAGAGATAACAGAGCTCGCACACTCAACTCACCCTCACTGACAGCCACAGAGAGGAAAAACATTACAATAATAACTCAGGCAGAGTGACACTGGGAAAGTGAGTAACGGTGAGAGAGAGAGAGAGAGAGAGAGAGAGAGAGAGAGAGAGAGAGAGAGAGAGAGAGATAGCGTCGCTTCAGCAAACCCAGACGTGAGGCTCAACTCCAACTGTGAACGCTTAGTGGGCGATAAAGAAAACTATCAAATCAAACATCTTCAGGTTTTAGCAGGTTTTCAACACTGTGGGTTTCCTATTAAAGCAACATGTCCCTGAAACATCAATAGGGTTCTGCTTTTTAATTGGGGGGGGCGGTGTGTGTAAAAGTGTCCTTTATGTCATTTATGTCACTTGCATTACTTTTAGGGCTGCAGTGATATCAATTCAAGCACTTAAACCCAGACACGGAATTAGGGACACTGATAGCTTTGTGTGGGGGTGTGTGTATTGCTATATATATACATATTATATATTGGTTTTCAGTTTTTGACATAATTTGAAAATACCTGTTGTCCTTTACATTGTGTGTACATCTCATGATGAATGGACTTGAATGACCTAAAATGACTCTGAAAAAATTCTGGTTCCACTGAGTTACAGCTACATACGCACGTGGCCCCCTGGTGGCGGCTCTAAGCAACTGCTTACCACTTACAGCAAGAAGCGGCTCTGTCCAGCACTAAAACTAAGCAAACTTCAGACAACAAACATCTCTTGGCTGCTCATCAACAATGATGCGTTCAGACTTGGCATGTTCAGTTGGATTTAAACAAACTCCGGTTCTATCGCTCTGTTAGTGCGGTTCCGTTAGAGCGGTTCTGTTAGAGCGAGCGAGAACACGGTCATCTGAACTTTGGTTCACCAAATAAGAGACTCTGTGAGCAGGTCAGTCTAACACAATGAACACTGTACTGACCAAAGACATCTAAACGGACCAAAGACTGAACAAACCACCGTCTCCTCTCTGCAGAACTTCTCTGGCTCACGGAAAAGTTCTAAAGCTGATTTGACGCATGCGTGTTTGATCATCTCTCCATAAGCTCTGAATGGGCAACTCCAGAAAGGAGAGTTCAGCCTTTAAAACGAGGCACATCAAATATTCCATATACACACTTAACTGCACACCGAAATTATATTATGTATTAAAGACCCAGAGAACCTAAATCTGTGTTCTAATCAGGTTAATCTCGTTCTTGTAGGTAAACAGTAAACATTACTAAGTTCAGCCTCTGAATAATGTTCCACTGACCAATAAATGACCGATATATTTCACCATATTCACTCCTCTCTGTGTAAACTGGGTGGTCATAATCTTGGGTAACACTTCCGTAATCATTCCCCTGACCAATCACAAGGCTGCGTCTGTGGCCCCGCCCACACAGAACAGTTTCAGAGTCAGAGAAGCAGAGAAGCGAGCTAGACCACCTGTCTGCATCTGCCTGTTGTTGTTCACTCGTTTATCCAACGGAAACGTTGTTCACTCGTCTGTTCTTTCGTTCACCCACTGCTTCATCCATCCATCCGTTTGCACGTCTGTTCATCTGTGACATTTTTCGTCCATTCAGCATCACCTACAAGCTGGATAATGATGTTAGTTCTGTATGAGGGGCGGAGCAGGCTAGGAGCGATGGACAGAGAGCCGTCAATCAAGCTGCTCATTAGCCACGCCCACACAGTTCTCAGACGGGTCTGATCAGCAGTTTTAAAGCCGTGTTTTATCATATTTATATCATATTTTTCATGCGAGATTCGAGATGTTTAACATAACACTCAAGTTTAGTATCTTAGGAACATTTATAATATTTGACTCTGTTCTCTGAGACGTTGTGTGCCGAGGTTCCTCTGTTCTGTTAAAGTGGTGAGCCACTCAAGGCTGGTACAGTGATTTCTTCCTGCTCTGTGTCGTATCTATGGTGACGCAGTGAGTCTCGTGGCTTATTGCTCTAATATCACAAGAAACAAATGAAACCAACGAGCCCGGAGAGAACAGAGAACCGCTTGATTCAGACAGTTCGGTGGACATTATCACAGTTACTGTACTTCCTAAAAATACGTCAATAGCCAAGTTTACCTGCAGCCTAATAATCCATGAATAATCCGACTAATAGCTCAATCGGAATAGAATACGTCCATGTAAACACTTCAGTCAGAATAGTCCAGTCTGATTGAGGCCATTCAGGATACAGTTTCTATCCGACTGATCGAGGTGGGTAATCCTGTAAATAATCAGTTAAATAGATGAATAATATCCGTGTAAACGCCTGTATCTGATTACATTCCCTATCGGAAAGTTTAAGTCCGTTCTGATCATGTTCGTCGCGTCATAGTGAGAGTTTATACCGTTCAACACGGCGGAGCAGAAACTGGTCTGCAGAGGAGACGAAGTTTATGCTCTGATCTTTAAAAGACGGCGGTGGGACGGACGTCCAGCTTATGTGTCTCAGAACACGACGTCTTCCTCTCGGCCTTCTTTAATAAGGACATGTGAAGGACGTTTTCCTGAGTCTGACATCATTTTAAAGCAATTAAACACACAAGCACTGCTCACTGCTGCTCATCTCACTCTGACTGGACTCACGTGATGCTGGTTGTCATGGTAACGTCTACACTAAGGCTATGTTTACACAGCAGGTAAAAGTGGCCTAAATCCGATCTTTTTCCTCATATGTGACACAGATGTGTGTCAGTGTGAGCAGCAAAAAACGCACTGAATCTTTTCAATTCCGATTTGAGACACTTTCGTATGTGGTACTGAAATCCGATACGTATCCGATCTGCGGCAATGCGACTCAGTCTGAACAGCCACATCGGAATTCTTTTACGTCAGTCCAACTCATTCGTCATAATTTCACGCTGCTGAGACTCATAAACACTTAGGCTGATGTTTCCGTACCAAAAATTAGAAGAGACTCATCGCAGCCACTCAGTGTTCGAAGAGATTTCGAACAAAACGGCCGAACGCGGCCGGAGGAGACCGAGGCTGCAGCGTCAAAAAAAGTTTAAAGAATCCGAGGACACGAACCAAAGAAGTGACCGCGCCCTTTTTATGGCTCAAACACATTGTAGGTGATGAGCCCAGCTGTCAACCAGTGGAACCTCATAATCGTTCCTGTGATGCTGGCAAAGACGAAACTGAACCCCCCGGGAGCGACTGGCGTTCGCTAGTCGTCATGACTGTTTCCCTCTGGATGAGCTGCGTAAAGCTCTGTTCCTTTGCACTTGTGGGTCAGTTCAGGAGCTGATCTGTTCAGACTGATGATACAGATCACATTTAAAAGATAATCTGAACAGCCAAACAAAAAAATGAGATTTGGTGAGAAAATCAGATTTCGGCCACCTTTACCTGCTGTGTAAATGTAGCCGAAGTGGTTCTGTACGTATGCGCGTAATTTTAGATCGGATTACTTGTAGTGAGAATGTAAACAGAGATTTTCCATCAGATTGTTGAGTAGAGTGAGAATAAACACCTCAGTCTTAATCTGTAATAGGAATGTATTTAATCAGATTGGCAAAAATCTTTGCATGTAAACACAGCCAGTGTGAACAATGAGCGTATAATTTTCTGCTTTGGTCTGGAGCGCCGCACCACTCACTAGTGAAGGGCTG